AGGTCAACTTGTTGCAGCTTTTTTGTTAATTTCTTCATCCTGTTCTCAAAGACTATGACTAATTTTCATTTTCCTCTTTACATTATAGCAAAAGATGTAGGCAAAAAATAGTCTTGTAACCAGGCACATTTGAACAAATATGAAAGGAAATGTGTGAAATAACCCTTACCTGCAGGAAAAAAAAAAAAAAAGTTCTGCTTTTGTTATGCTTGTCAGAGTGCTAAGAAAATGAATGTGAACCCCCCCTCTATATGCACTTATGATAAATTTAAATGGAGGAAAGTGATGTTAAACAGAGAGGACTCTGAGAATGAGTTTTTTCCAGTGTTTACCTGCAGAGCTCTCTAAAGAAAATGTTAACAGAGTGACTTCTTTCTTAAGCCTGTGTTCAAAAGTAAATCACACCTTTTACACAATGGAGTGAAATTTATCTCTTGCCACTCCCAATAAATTTGGCCTATTGTATTTCAATTGTACCCCTGTGCAATTCTATTTTTCCAGCATACATCACCTCTTCACTGCATTCAGAGCGGGAAAATAAATGGTTTCCAATGGCAATGAAAATTGCCTTTCAAATTATTAATTCGTTTGGCTCCAGGCAAATTTTAAGCACAGACTTTCATGTATTGACCTTGTTTCTGATTAGGAAGGCCTGATCCAAATGTCAATCTAGTCAACAGGGCAGTATGACTTCAAATGGGCTTTCAATGAGGCTTTCAAACTGCAATGATGGGAGAAAAGAAAATTTTATATATTTTTCTCTGATCTTTCAAAAAAAAACAAAGAATGTTTTCATATGGGAAATGAGGTAAACAGACAGTTCTTTGTCTCTTATGGCAGACAGCCAACTTCTCCCTGGTTTCACCAACCATTTCTGATTAGTTGTGGTACCAGGTGGTTAAGCAAGAAAAGGCTGAGACCACATGGCAGGGGTGCTTGAGCTGCATGGCCTATCTGCATACCAACCATAAGGACCCAAAAGCCAGATACCAGAAAAAGTCTTCCTCTAAATGAACCCTTCTACATGCTTTAGTGACCCTGGGGGTGAAAAACAGTTACTTAAGCTAAAAAGGATCCCTAATGTGCTCTGAGAAATTGGGGGACTAAACTAGAGGGCTTCTCTCTGCTGAGTTACTTTGCCTCAGAGAGAGGCACAGAGTTCTTGGCTGCATTATTGATTTGTTGTCTGTCTGCAAAGTTGGTTTAAGAAGTGAAAGTTGGTTTAAATTTAAGGAAAGTTTGCTTAAGCTCTGCTACTATCACAATGGTGGAAGAAAAACAACCGTGAGGCCAGCTGAAAGAAGTAGATGAATATGCAGACTTCAAATAAAATGATCTCCAGCACACCCTGCATGCTTGTTGTAGCAATCCATAAAGTTGAAGTCACTTACTTCAGGCTTTAAGTCATAGGTCCTCAGTACAAGGAGTTTCCCATTACATTTTCTCTGTTCACTCATTCCTACCTCCCTGCCATGTAGTGACAATGAGCCTCTTCATGGGGCTACAGTACAACCTGGATTGCAGAACTGATGAGGCTTTTTGAAAAAGTGCCCTGATGATGGGTACAAAAGGCTTTTTTTAAAGTCAGATTATTTCAGAGTAGAGCCCCACAAATCATTAAAAACAAGGAAGAGTTGAAGAGTGGAGGAAGATAATGATGCCAGTGGCACATATCTTTCCTGACAGAGTTGAGCAAGAGGAGTTACAATATAAGTCTACCTAATACTTGCAAAGATTTCTGATTGCATATGTAAAGTACACTACAATAAGTGGGGATTGTTGATGCTTTATGAGAAATATCCTTCATTTGCTACTCATATTTCTTATTAATTGGATTGAAGAAACTTCCTCCTTAAAATTACAAGAGCTTCACTGACACCAGTGCTTGCTACCTTCCCACTCTTAGGAAATTTACTCTTAGTGGTTACTTGTACACCTGGAGGCATCACCTGGAGGCATCACCTAGATCATACCATGATGCTTAATGTCAAAGGAGCCAAGGTTATGAGAACCTCTAAAAAATTTCATGTATTTTAAATCTGGAAGTCTTGAATAAGGATTTAACAAAACAACTTCAGGTCAACCTCCTAAAATATTAATCCACTGCAGAGAATATTAGTAAGCGCAGAAGGAAAGATTCAAACAAGAATCCATTGACTTACACCAGTCTTTTCTTATATTAGACTAAAAAGAGACATATAACTTTATCTGCTGATGAAACTACTGAAACAGTGAAATAACCAAGTTTTTTCTGCCTCTTCTTTTCTTCCCATCCATCTTTGAAAGAGACGACCCTCCCTCTCCTCGGAAATCCTTCCCAGAAATCAAACATTATATTTTAGAAGATTCTGGTTAATGCATGAAGATTAGCTAAAGATAATGAATGTAGGTGGTCAGAATTACTGGAGGCACTGAAAGAAAGACCACTCTCAATAGGTGGGCAAGTTCCTAAATCAATAAAGATTGCAAGGAGCAAGATTCAACACTTCTTTTTTCTTTTTTTTTAAATGATGCCTATGAATGTAGGACACTGAGTAGAGGGGCATATTCAGAATGTTTACAAGTAAACAGATACTATATTAAAATGAAAAATAATTACAAAATAAAAATAATATTTTAAAAAAATCTTTTTTGATTATTTACTCAAATCCTTTTCTTTAACATTCATCTATAGGGGTTTTTTATGGTGTTTTTTTAAAAATCTTTCTGTTACTGGAAGGGATAACATCTGCCATAATCTTTGAAAAGCGTCCAGAACATCAGACGTTGTCACATTTGAAGGAAACACCTTGACCACTTTGTATTTTTCTACCTCAGTATAGATACCATATACTCTACTGTTAGAAAACATTTATGTGGTGTTATTTAACTGGAGAGTATATTCATCATCATGACCAGACTATGCTAATAGATGATAGGATCATAAGATTCCCAGAACAAAGTTTAATGTTAGTTCACTGAAGTCCAGAGCTATATTGCTGCAAATACGCTATGAATGATATGAGGCCTCAGGTATTAACAATGTACCACCTATCTCGTCCACTTTAATACCAGCAGAGGCACATATTGTACTAGAAATATTGTCATTTCTACTTCTTCACACTCAGCTTCCCTGTCATTTTTCACTCTTGTCTTGCCCATAGCAGCTATCTCCAGCTTCAGCCCTTGTGTCTCTATTCCCTTCTTTCCAATGCACAGTGCAAAGTTCCTCTGCCATGAGATTAGCATGCCATATGTTACCATCTGCTCTAAACAGAGTGTCCACAGGAAGTGGTAAAAGTAAGTATTCTCACTCGGTGCAGAATCAGACCTTGAGATAAGCTTGACAGTTCCCACACTGAATATATAAGCATGCCCTCTCAATAAGCAAAGGTGTAGAAGCTGTTCATCATGAAAATTAGACGAGTCATCAAAAGTAGACAGGATATAAAATCCTATGCAAATGTGACACATCAGTGGCATTATTTTTGACCATGATGTTATTCATACATATTTGTGAAATGAAGGCTGCACAACAAGCGATGCCAAAGGCATCAGCTGGCACAGAATACCTTCACTCCATGATGTGACATAGAGTGATTTATACACTGTTATATTAAACTGCTAATATATTCATGCGTCCCCATACGGAAGAGGATGCAGTTATTTACCAGCTTTTATTATCATGACGGAAACATGATTGCAACAATCTGCATGCAAGTTCTAACTTTTTTTTTTTTTTTTTTTTTTATACTGCAGAATGATCTATCTACATATTTGTAGGAGGAAAAAGAACTCTACATGCTAGCATTGGACCAGCATCTCCCCAAAAAGGGCTTTGAATAGTATAAAGTCTTCCAGAGAAGCATACTCAGTGTGTGGGAAGGACAATCTGATTTCTATTGGTTGTAAGATAGCCAGAAGCATCTGCTGCTGTTCGGCAATGTTGCCACCACTACTCAATCTCTTAATAACATTTTTCATTCCCAGATCATACTCTGAGCCTTCCATTCAGCATTTGTTTGAACAGAGGTGACCCAGTGAGATCTTAAAATTCACCACACAATCTAATTCCAGAAAACTCATTAAGAGGTGGTGTCATTAGAGAGGGGCAGAGTGAAGCCAGTTCTTAAGGCAATATGAAATTTTAGTCACTTGTAGCAAGATGAACACACTTAAATCTGTCAATACAAGAAATGGTGAAGTCAGATAAGCTTTTCTATAGCATTTACCTTTAATCACATACTCTTCTGAGCACTGGGTAGAAAGCTTAAGGTCTAACTCAAATTAATAAAAAGAGGAAAGCAATTTAGCACACAGTTCTAATTTTTTTCTGGACACCTGATGGAGGATAAATATGTGAAGAAGATTCAAAGAGACTTCCCTTGCCCACTCTTGAAACCAGTGGCCAGATGCAGAGCAAGAAACAGGTGCAATACTCCATGGAGTACTATAAAATGGGTAGAAACAGTTCTGGTCTTGAGAAGCTGAGACAACTTGCATTCAAATATTAGCCAGAATTACATGCTTTCTAGTATTCATGTCTCAGTGGCTCGGATATTAAGCAGGAGCACATTCTGACTCAGCCACAGTTTCAAATGATGATTTAGCCCTCTTCTGAACTAGGAAGAGCAGATGCTTTCTCATTACCCATTGATACTGATGTAGTCTAAATTATTATTCTACATAAATACTGATTGGTAGATAAAGAAAAATAAATGTTGACTAAATTAAATTTAGGTCACTTAGGAGACTCCAAGCAAGCACTTTTAGCAACAAGTGGCCCTAGAGCACACGCAATCTTGTATTTCAAAATGTGTTTTCAGCCCTTATCAACATGATGCTACTTCAGCGCCACAAAGAATGTGAAGTTATTGTTAAGTAAAGTAAAAGTCTATGCTGTTGACAACTGACTGGCAAAAAAAAAAAAAAAAACTAACATCAAACTATCATCATCTATCTATTAGACCACATCAAAGTAGTTCGAAGGCATTCTTATATGGAAAAAAATAACCTCTTACCTTCAGTATGTACAGCAGAAACATAAGTCCAGTTATAGCGCTTGACAATGTCCACCATAGCCCGTGCTTGCTGTGCGTCAGATGGCACAACTCTCATAAAATACTTGAACAGAGTTTTGTCGCTTAGGTCCATGCTTGTGGCAGAATAAGCAATCTGAGGTATATTGAAAAGCTGCAATAAGTTCTGGACCTGGATAGCAACTGAGCTAGAGCCAGGTCCAATAACACCAACAATGGGTTTCTTGGAGCGGAAAGATGATGATGATCCATCCACACATCGCACCATCCCTTCCTCTTCTTCCGATGAAATTAGAGAGTCCCTTATAAACTCAATACTCTGCTCCAGAGCCACAGCAGAATGCCAGCAGGAGTCCCTTATTTCACATCCTAGTGTTATATTTGGCAGCAGTGTGGGGTCCAGATTAATTCTGTCAAGGGTATGTAGCATTGCCTCCACTCTCTGAATGCCATACTGCTCTCTTACCTCTCCACATTTCCTTTCATGAACCTTGTCAACAGTTGGTTGATGATGGACAGAGAATAGAGCTCCAATGATAATATCACCAGGCATGTGTGCAACCACCCTCCTTTCATTTGCTTGTGCTGAAACCAAAAGCCCAAAGTTCCCACAGACATCTTCCTTCAATAATAGGATTGCAAGGAACAGCAAAAGAACCATTTTAGGAAATGTTTTAGGCTGGTAGAGACATGATGTAACAAAATCGGAGAGCTGGTGAAAAGCAGTTATCAAATCTTTTGGATAAAAGGAGCACTATGCTGATGGTTAACCAGGAGTTTGCGTGTATTCTCTAAGGAGTCACCATCATCTCCAAGTGGACAGATATGCAGAGCTGCACATGTGATCATAATCCTCATAACCTTCAAAAATGAATAAATAAGAGAAAACACTTTAAAATTAGTTATAAAGTCAGCCTTGTAATCTGTTCTAAAATTGCACCTATTCCTACTGCTGTCAATGACTAATACATTGCCTGCTATGTACACTTGCTTCCATCATTTTCGAGCTGGAAAACTTTATCTTACTTCAGTGTTTCACAATATTAGGCTTGTACTTCTGCTGGTATAAATCAGTGTCTTTCTCTAACACTCTTGTTTAAAAATTCTTTTAGGAAATATTTTTAAAAACACAGAAGACAAACAAGTATTTCATTCCATAAAAAGAAAGATGTTGCCATTTCTAATGTGCGTTTCTAAAACAACTCCCTTTACTTTCAGACAATTTCTATATCAGAAATGTATATGTCACACTAATATACCTTGGTCTGTACTATGTATTTGTTTTCAGCAGTGAATGTTTCAGCTAAGGAACAATAATTCTAAAACATCAGAACAGTGAAATTCTTTTAATCTTTATATACTTAAATCAAAAATCTCTAATAAGCAATTTGACAAGTCCTGGTACTGTAGACAACTATACAGACTTCGCTGATAGAAAGAAGTCAACACAAAGACTATACAGATGCATTAGCGCCTAAAATATTTGATCTGATATGTTTGCCAATAGTCTGCAATACAGTCTGCACTCAGCTTGTTAAAGGAACTTGAAAATGTACTTGAAAATGTTCTGTACCTAGCAGTGGATTTGCAGTAGGATGCTTCTGGTTTTAAATATAGTGCTTAAACAGTAGTTTGTCCAGATCTTAATCCCTGAGCACATTAAAGTATCATCTATTGTTTTACACCTGCCAGTGAATCCATTGATAGTACAGAAAGTTAAATACACTCTTAAATATAGGAAGATGTTGAGCTAATTAATGAACCACATGCCCAGTTTCATTATTGACAAAACAACTGCAAAATTCTGGGACAGAGCCTGATCTCAGTTTTATTGACATAAGTCTTTTGATGTAATAATAAAAAAAAAGAAACTCCATACATTTCAGACTCACCAATCATTTATAATACATTAACAATAACTCTAACAATACTCAGATGTTGTAAAGTGTAAGAAACTCTTGCCGTAGGAAATCTACCTCTGTTTCTTCCAGGTTGAAAATCTAGCAGTATTTTAATCTTTAATTTACCCCTTACAGCTAGGTCATTCAATACAGTGCCACAATGAAATTCTTCCTGATTCTGAAGATGAGACAGGCAAACCTAAAAACATTTTTCTGCTTGATGTTAGACTTGTTTAATTATTATTTTACCTAGACATCTATAAATTATAAATATTTACACAGAGGAAATCATGTTATAGTTTCAGTGAGTATTCCCAAATGAAATCTAAATTATTGAAAAGAGAAAATATTGAATAGAAATGGTTTTGTAATATTAATTGCAACACTAATAGTTTCATGTAATATTAATTTTTTGTAATAGAAAGTGTTAGTAATAAAGTAAGGTCTAGATAACTATATAATACTTTAAGAAGTATTTTTTTTTAAGTTTGTAAAGAGTTGGCTTATCAACACTTCAACCCTTTGCCACTAAGGAATAACAGCAGTTCAATTCAGGTTAATTAGTCTCTAATTACAGAAGATCACTACTGCTTATGTCTTCCAATTGTTTGTTTTGTGACTCTGAAGATAGTATTGTATAATTTTGCAAAAAAGTCCAAAGAATGAATGACAGGGGATATCTCTGTACAGTATCACAGCTTTTAAATTCCTATGCCTCCAATTAATTTAAAGTATAATCAATTTTAAAAATATTTAATTTTTAACTAACTTATTAACATTTGAACAGAAATAAAACTGTTATTTAAAACCATGGACGCTTATTTTTCTGAGCTTCTCAAATTAAGGCTACAGGTACAGAGCACAAGTATATCTAGACAAATGTCAGCTCTGCCTCAGACTGTAACTGGATATGCAATTAGATGCCTTTTTATAACCTAGCTGCCTGTGCAGCTGCGTATGTACAAATAGATAGAGTTCAGAGGATTGGGGTGAGCTTGTGACACAAAAAATATAATCCACTCCCCATCCACCATTTTAATTCTACAACACACAATGACCAGGTTTCTGATCAAGTTTAATAATACTGTTCTTGATATTATGTCTATAAATTAAACAATTTCCATACAGGATATGTGAGAAAGAGAGGGCAGCAAGGCCATTTTTATCTTCTTCACTTCAAGGAACAGCTGTTTTCTATTCTCTGTCTACAGCTGTATCTATCAGTATAAAATTATAGGGTGAAGAATGAAGTAAAGCTGAAGATCTCTTTTATACTTCTGGTTCCATAGTAATAGCAGATCTCATGGCTAGGGTGTTCTTATGACCCAAAAGCAAGTTCTGAAAGCAATCAAATCCTTCCACTCCATGGCATCCAAGGGAAAAGAAGTGGCCAGATGCAGACTGCAGTTGTTCCAGATTTAATTCATTTTCTTCAAATACTCCACTGTACTAAAGTGAAAGCTAATTTACTTGGACTTACAAAGTTGTTATTAACTAAACCAAGAAAACTGCTTATGTTTTGTAGTATTGGGCTTAGGACTCATATCCAAAGCATCTGAAGACAATGCTTTCTGTGGGCTTTCATGATGCAGTAAAACAACCTGGAATTTATTTTGACGTGTTTAAGTGGGTCTTCTAAATTTCAGTGGATTTTTATTCGTATAATAGAGATCCAGTTCTATGGGCTTACTCTTGCTCTCACAAACCTAAAAATCACAGAATGATTGGGGCTGGGAAGGCACATTAGGGAGCTGTCTGGTCCATCCACCCTGCTTAAACCAAGTTCAACTAAAGCATGTTTTTCAGCTTCATGTCCAGTCAGGTTTTTAATATCTCTGAGGATGGAGACTCCACAGCCTTTCCAGTCAATCTATTCCAGTGTTTGACTACAATCACAATAAAAAGGATTCTTTTTTATGTTTAAACAGAATTTCCTGTATTTCAATTTGTGCTTATTGCCTCCCATCCTTCCACTGGATACAGCTGTTTATGCCATGCAAGATGCCATGAGAGTAATCAGGTAACACATTTCATTTTAGGCCAAAATGGTTTAGAAGAGAGCTGGTAGACTAAGCATGCTAATTACATTTCCTGGATAACATCTTCCTGAAGAGAAGATGGCCAAGGGAACTGTTCAAATATACAATATTACTGCTCTTCCGTCCCAGAAGAATCACATACAAGTCACTCCACATTTTGATTACCATTCTTTCCTACTACAGGAAGCTTATTATTACAAGCAGGATGAGTAATAAAATTAAGCAAAATTTCATAAGCTTAAATATAGCTCCTCTTTAAATTGTTTGGGATAACCCTAAAGGGAGGCTGACATGCTATAGCCTTCAGACTTGAGAACAGAGGTATCAGCAGCATCAAAGACAGTGAACTCTTGAATGCATGAATTAAAGTAATGGGAATTGTTTCCCAGTTAATAATTTATTTGCATTTACTTGTTTTCATTGATGGACAATCAAATCAACATGCACAGCACTTAGGGTCAACTTTACTTTTCACACTGTTCAATTTCTTCAGTGTCAAGGGAGTTATTCGTAATTTACTGCAATATAGGCAAAATGGAATCAGGCACTTAATTACTGGTGTATCAAGGTTCCTAGATTATTTCAGCTATGGATTTAACTATAAATTAATCCTGAAGTCACATGCTTTAACAGTACATGACAGACACTTTGGTCTCAGTCTTCTAGTGCACTAGCTTCACACTTGGAGCAACTGCAGAAATAGTAAGGCATAAGGATATTCTGCCTATCTGTCCTTTGCTCAGTCCTGCCCTAGACAAAAATTTAAGGACTACTCAGATGACTGAAGACACAGATCTGATGAAGCACTCAGCATGTTCCTATAACCTCTGCTTTCCCTGGCAGTAAAAACTTTATGCCAGTCTCTGTCAGGAGAAATTCTCAGCTGTTCCTTTAGGGCAGAGATCCAGCTACTTCATGTCGAGGTTTAACCGAGTAGAAAATGAGCATCTGTAATATTCCATGAAACATCATGCAATTCTTAAAATTATTTATTTCAACCTCAACTGTACATCCACCTATATTTACAGGCTGCACAGAACAAAAGAAACAAAAAAAGACCTAATATCTAATGACATTAATTAAATCTTGATCAAAAATCAAACTATGAACAGCAGTTCGCAAAGGGCTGAATTTCCACTGTCTATGTGGCTGAGCGTTTATACATGGGGCACATCTGATTTTTCTTAAGGGCTTCTACTGCCGCAGGTGTAACTGTGTTTAAACCTTAAGAATTAAACCTTTTCCCCCTGTGACTTACATTATTATAGCAGCGCCCACTAGTGACCCCAGAGTGAAGGACCTGTCTTTTTGCAATCAATTCTCTTGTCTGTCTTCTAATAGGTAAAACACAAACTCATCAAAGGGAAGTTTTTGATTTAGCCTGTTTTGTATCAGTGGGGAAAAAAAAAATAAAAAAGAGAGAAGGAGCAACACTTTCATTTAGGTTTCTTCTTTCTTACAATTTTGTAAGTTCACAGCCTGTTCGTTCATAGTCTCTAAATCTTCAGGCAGATTTAAATAATAAAAATAAAATGCCACGTTACTAGACCACAGACCAGTACTGTGATGGAGTGAAAAGTTATGGTCCAATCCACAAAAACACTTAGGAATAAGCTCAGTGTTAAGCACATTAAGAATGCTGTTGATCAAACATCTGTAAAGATTTATCTAAAGTTTAACATCTCTTTAAAGGATTTTCCACATCAGAGCATTCACAAAAACCTAGGGCTCCAAAATCCATTCATTAGTAGTGACAAATTTTGCTTGCATGTTGTGTCTGTATAGCTTATAGCTATGCAACTGCTGATTAAATGCTTTCCGGACATTCATTTACAGTACCTACTGCAACTAATTCAGTGCCATCAGATATTAAATAATATAGGTCGATATAGATATGAACAAAATCAGTATATCCCAAGGAACTAACGCAAGTTTCATCATCAGAGAAATTAAACCTTTAGCAAGCAGCAACTGAATTACTGGTCCAGAGTCAGTCTTACCACTTATCTCACAGTGAAGATCATTGGATAGCAAAAGATGGAACTGCTTTAGAAAAACAATTACATAAGGAGAGAGACCTCTTGGCTCATCTTGACAGGGAGCAATGTGAGGAAAAAGTGTACCTTCAGGATGCTAAGCCTTTGCTCAGGTCTGTTGGCTACTGGCATTGCAAACACTAAGCATTAGGCTCAGGCTATTCTAGCAATCTAGCTCCCAGTGCTGTGGAAAGGCTCAGTTTGCAGGAGGTCTCACACACCCACTCCTTGGTGGTAATTCACTTTGGTCACACAAAACCTGATACACTCAAACGGTCCTTGGCTGGAAAACATGAACATGAGCACTCCGTTCTGTTTTGAGATTTCTACTGCCATTTAAATTTTCCATCCACCAAAAAAACCCCAAAAGATTTAAAAAGATCAACCATTCGTCATTGCATTATCGGCTCTGTAAATTCCAGTGGGCATTGGATCAAGCCCTCTGACAAAGGAAACAACCTTATACAACAGGAGAGACTATGAAGTAGTGTTCTGTAATTCCACTTAGAAATAGGAGGAAACTAAGCAGCACAGAAGACTTTTAGCCATTTGGCCAGAAGAGCCACTGAAAATAACAGACTAATGTGCTGATCTCATGTCTTCATAGATAATAAGCATAGAATGCTATAATTATCAGCAAGATCCTTAGCAATCCCAGGAAGTTCTTCCCCATATTATGCCCACACACACGCTTTCTGGTTGATGAAACATTCCTGGTTTTAATATGTAGGTGCTTAACTTCCCAGCAAAGCTTGCCATGATCTCTGCAATTTCGCTAAATATACTATTTATTGCTGCTGTTATGAAAAACCTGTTATACCATATGATGAAGGAACTAATAGCTCTGGTATGATTTCAGCTGTAATCCTAGACATTTTATTAATTAAAAAAAGTGTATGATCTGGAGGAGGTGACCAAGAAAAAGCAATAGAAATTCCAAAAAACATTTTCTAACAAGTCACAACAAGAGTGGTGTTACAGTGTCATTCCAGTACTACCCCTATACCAAAATAAGCCATAAACATGTTGGCAAATGAAATTACAAAGAACCTGTATAAAGACGCCAAAAATACTCTCTGATCATTTGAAATAATGATTAACCCTGACAACCCTGATCATGTAACATAAATGCTAGCATGTAGTTAAAGTATTTGAGAATGTGCAAAATATTAGTATGGGATAGAAATGTTTAGGAATACAGTAATAAAAAAGGTCATAGAGAATGAAAAAAGCCTGGAAGTTAACCCCTCTGTACACCCTTCCCTTTCAGGATTGTTTAGAGCAGTGTATTTCCAAGACAGACCTCTGTCACTCTGCTGTCGAGATGACCCCTCACTTTGTCCTCAAGACTAGAAGAAAAAAACACCCAGCCTCCCCCTACACCCAGTCACCCCCACCGCCACCAGAAAGCCCTTCCCGGGGAGAAGATGGAGTGGAAGTGGGGCTGCCGGGGCGGCGGGGCCCCGGGGTGCGGGACAGCGCTGCCGGCGGGCAGCGGGAGCGGGCAGAGGGAGAGGGCAGCGGGATCAGCGGGAGCGGGGAGCGGGAGCGGGCAGCGAGAGCAGCGGGGCGGGCAGGGGGAGCGGGCAGAGGGATCAGCGGGAGTGGGGAGCGGGAGCGGGGAGAGGGCAGCAGGAGCGGGGAGCGGGGAGTGGGGAGTGGGCAGCAGGAGCGGGCAGCAGGAGCGGGGAGCTGGAGCGGGGAGCGGGGAGCGGGGAGCGGGGAGCGGGGAGCAGGAGCGGGGAGCAGCGGGCAGCAGGAGCGGGGAGCGGGGAGCAAGAGCGGGGAGCTGGAGCGGGGAGCAGGAGCGGGGAGCAGGAGCGGGGAGCGGGGAGCGGGGAGCAGGAGCGGGGAGCGGGGAGCGGGGAGCGGGGAGCAGCGGGCAGCAGGAGCGGGAGCTGTCCCTGGTGCTGAGCACCGCCCGCTGCCAGCGTTCCCCTCCCGGGCAGGTTTAAGAAAAGGGAAAAAATTCCTAACCTTTAAAATCAACCAATGACAAAAAAAATCACATGGTAGTCACATTTGCCATGCCAGACCACATTTTTTACAGATAAATTAAATACACAGATCTGGGTCTTAGAGGAAACGATTGGACAAGGTTGACTCCCAGCATAGCTACCTGTGCTGCTACAACTAAGTGGCTGTGCATGCAGATTTATATGTGTTCATGCACACTTGTTCTTGGATCTCTGTCTTCCTGCTCGGCTCGTGGTATCACTGTACCTCTCAACCCTTAATGAATCATTTTTGCACGGGGGGACATTAGCTCCAATTATTAAATAAGGAACAGATGGGGCTCGCCAAGCAGAGTCAAAGTGTTTTGTCCCAAGGTCACACAGAAAAGTCTATGCCTGAGCTTAGCCTGGCTGTCTCTGGAAAACAGATACATCCCTGTTTCCATTATCCCCTCCTAGCAAGACAAATCCCCACGGGTGAACAGAAGGGCTATATCACACACATCACCAAGCCCAGGTACTGCAGTACTCCGATCCCCCCCAGCCCCACACATCTGCTCCTGGGGAGGGATCAGTGCCTGCTGCCCTCCAGCACCCCAACCCACTGGTGCCCCAGCAGCCCCTGGAGGTGCTCCCCACCGGTTGGCTTGCTGGCTCTCCAGGAGCCCTGCTTGTCCTCCAGCAACCAGAGCACAGAGCAAAAGCAGGAGGGAGGGAGGGAGGGGAAACAGTTCCTCCTGCATCCACAGGGTTTCTGACCGCAACCCAGGGCACATAAATCCCCTCTCCCACTCTGCAGCATTACCTTCTCGGTGGCAACAATTATTTCTTCCTACAGTGGTGGCAAAGCGGTCCCTTCGGTGGCAATAATCAAGACGAGCAGGGGTAGGCACCTCTTATTTTCAGCCACGGCAGAGATAGCATTCCACGCACAGACCTTCTGGAACTGAATAATCCTCAAATGCCTCTGCAAAGATCACCAGCAGGTGAGCCCCACTCGGCTAGCATTGTCACTCCTCCAGCTATGGGCACATCCTGTTTTCTTCTGATCACAGGCAAATGCTGAAGACCGAGTAACCTACCCCCGCAAATGCATGCACATACACACACGCCATGCAACACGCTGTTCTCTCAGCATCGCCCAAGTCTCATTTGCAAGAGGCGTGAATGGTCCCTGGATTTAAGGGGGGGGAGTGGGGGGGAGGAAGGCATGAGGAGGAGGACTAAACAAACAAACGATGAAACAACAGATGGGGCTTTGCTCTCTGCCACCACAGCCTTGGTCTTCCTAAATACTTGCTGCAGCTTGACCCACCTGCTTAAACCACCCAGCCTCACGTATGCACGGCAGCAACCTCTCTGCATTTATAAGGGGCTAACCCTGCATTCTGCCCTGCAAGGAAATCTCTCCAGATGCTTTGAAGGTTGCAAAGTCCCCCTATAAACCGACACCTCCCTCCCGCACTACCCTCCAGCAAGTGAGAAAGGTGGAAATCAGTTCAGAACAGCATCATCCGAAGAGAAAGGAAAAAAAAAAAAAAAAAAAAAGAAAAAAGCGATAGCTGCTTCTGGAGGTTCTGTTTAAAGCCGAGGAGCAGGGAAGAGTTTAACCCTGCGGTCCCGGCGGCCTTTTGCGAACTGGCTCCGCCGAAGTTTTCCCGTCCCCCCGCGGCCGTGCTGCGCGGCGGCCCGGGGGCTCCGCTGCTGCACCTGCGGGCCTGGGCGTGGGGGGCGAGGGGGGTCCTGAGCACCGGGAGAGCACCGGGCTGCAGCGCAACTTTTTAGTGCCACCAAGTGGCATAGATCCCTCTAGGAAACCAAGCAGCCTGCCAGCTCTGGGCTCTGCCTGCTGCTCCCTGGCAAGGGGAGAGCGGGGGATATGAGAGCAGCGACCACCCCTCCCCCCCACCCCCGCCCGACACACAGACAGACAGACAGCGATGTCAAGCAGAAAGGAGGGACCTGTTTGCCACTGGAAGGACAGGTTGCCCTCTCCAGACCTCGCCCCTTCCCTTGGCTGCAGGGCGATGGCACCGGGCACGGCGAGACGAGGAGCGATGCTCCTGCCAAGGGCAGCCTGAGCCGTCAGCCCCGCCGGCGGGATGTGGCCCCCTGCTCCTGCTCCCCGCGGGCTCCCCCCGCTCCCCCCCCCCCCCCCCAGCAGGTGCCACCTGCAGACACCCCCCTTCCCCTCCGAGCCGAGCTCCCTCCCCTCCGCCCCCCCCGGGCTCCCCGGCCCCACAGGCGCTGCAGTTCCCCGCCAGCCCCCCCGGCTCCGCAGCCAGCGTTCCCGGACTGTCTCTGCAGACCCACGGGCAGGTCTCCCATTTTGCCTACCTTCTGCCCTCAAGCTCGGTACCCTCCGGCCTTTCTGCATCCCCACGCTCCCACAAACCCCCCAGCACCTCTCTCCCCTGCTAACTACCTGCTCCCCACGCATCTACCTTTCCTCGGTTAACCCTTCCCTCCAGAAGTCAGCCGAGGCTTTCCCATATCCTCCAGCATCCCTGCATCCTCCCAAAGCTTCCCCCCTCCCTCTCTCCTCCTCTCTCTCACGGCTCAGCCCCACACACCCCGGTTCCTGCTCCCATTCACACTCAGTCGTCCCGCTCCCCTCCTGCTGGCTGCACCTCACCGCTCCTCCATCCGGGGTGGGCAGGGACCCCCGGCACCGGGCCAGGCACCACGGCTCTGAGTGTGGGGTGTGGGAATTTCGGGGTGTGGGTACGCGTGAGAGGGTGGGAGGGTCCTAGGTAGCCTGAGCCCTGACAAACTCAACACCTCCCCACCGTCCTACTGCAGCAGTAGCAACAAACAAGAAGGAACCCTCACAACACCACACCAGATAGAAATCATCTCTTTATCCAAAGCTATTATTAGTAAATAAATAAATAAAGTGAAATAAATTAAATAAATAATAAAGCAAAATGTCTTTTAAATAAGAGCTGATCTAGCATTTAAAAGGCGGCTGCTGGGTCTGACCATTTACCAGGATGTATTTGCAGGGGAGGATTAGTTTGTGCATCTATTTTTGAGAATTAACAGCCATCCTCTGCCTGCTGTTCCACAGCTCAGCACTCCCTGCTGGTTCCCCCCTCTTTGGGTTGCTGCTTAAAATACTTTTTTTTTTTTTTTTTTTTTTTAAACAGCTACTGAATGACCCAAATCCTGGCCGCTACTTGATGTGGCTCCCCCAGAGTGGCTGCACTACCACATCCAACCCGCATCATGTCCTCCTCCACACCCCTGCCCATCTGAGAAAGTTGTTGGGGAACAGAGGAAGACAGACAGTCTTGCTACAGGTCCATCCATGCTTCTAATCCCCTGTGATCTTTTTGCTGCTGTCTCTTTTCCACCAGATTACCAGCTTGATTGCTCCTTTCCTCCCAAAAGGTGAAAAATAGGGATCCCATATGTCCTTTCAAGGTGTGGAGTTGGGCCTCTGTCTCCTTCCCATCCTCCTTCAGTTCCAGTCTGGGACTGACTGGCTGGGAGCCCATCAGCAGGCACCTGCTTCACATCCTCCCCAGGTCTCCTGGCTCCTGCAGGCACTGAAGCCCTGGTAGAGGCTAATCCTTCAAGCACGGGGCACTGTGAGTGTGTGTGCATGTGGCTCCAAATGTTTGTTCCCTCTACTCAGCTCCAAGAGCCTCTGTGTAGGTGTTTCAAGGGATAGAAGCAGGTTACACGAGAGGGAAGAGCCCACTAGTTACTAGGGTCATCCCTGTTATTGTCACTGACCTGATGGGGTGATAGATAAGGAGCATCTCTCCTCTTTCTCCCCAGACCTATACTCCCCTCAGACATTTTCTTTCCCATTAACCATGCACTGTGAAACTACTAGAGGGTCAGAAGGCTGGACACTATGAGGGGACAGATTTTTGTGGAGAAAGCACAGATTGGAAGAAGGAGGGGAGGGATGTCTGTAGAAGGGAAAGGTGGGTGCCTTTTACCAAAGGCAAAGTGGTATTCCTGTGTACAGGGGCCCTGGAAGGAAGCAATGTTGAAGGGACCTGGGGAAAGGGGGGGTGCCATTGCTTTGCTGGGCTCTCACAACAATTCTCTGTCTTCACCAGGGACTCTGTGTGTGATGAGGGAGTCAGAAACCAGCCACCTCTCATTGGCAACAGAGACACCCAGCTGGCTGGCAGGATGGTGGGTGACCCACAGCAGATGAGGGAGATAATCCCCACACAAACAGGACACACAGAGTTCTGTGGCTGCAGCCACGGTGGATGTAAAGCAGCTCCTACACAGACATCCTCAAGGACTCGCCATGAATCAGAGCCCAGAGTCAGAGTTCACTGTGCCAGATGTTTGGAGCAGCTGGATCAAAGACAAAAGGAGGAAAACAAAATGGATGGGGGTGGCCATGGCACTTACACTCCTAATGCCTCTCATTGACCTTTTAAACAGGGTCCCAATAAATACAGATATATAAAAGGCTCTTTTTCTTTGCTCTCTTTCTCCTCCTTTCTCCTCTCCTCCCTTCCTATCATTCACAACCATTTTACAGAACTCATAAAATTAGTCACTGTCTTCTCCCCTGACAGTAGATTATTTTTCCCCTACCATGAAATTTCCCATCCTATTTTGACACTATTTTTCATGTAAATAAGATGAAAGCTTCCTGTACCTGTTTGCAACAGCATTGGTGAAAAATAAATAAATGAGTACCTGAATAAGGAGACATAATGGCTACATTTTATAAGCCCACTATTGGTAACACTCATTATTTCTGTTTCAGTAGCACCTATAGATACTAACACATTGGGCAAGGCCGAACACGTTCTGAATCTCTGCATCCTGAGAATCTTATGCATACAAAAAATTGCAGGGGTAAAAAGAGTATGAATAAGTCTCCAGGTCTAATTAATATCTCCAAAGAGCATGCTAACCACTTTACTATTTTAAAACTGAAAATAATGAGGTAACACTAATTTGGATTCTCTTCAGTTCCAGAATGAATAAACCCTATGGGGCAGAGGCAGTACAATCAAAGACAGTGTGTGGACAAGAAGGTGATATTGTATTGGCCAAGATGAGCCAAGTGCCTTCTTTTTTACAAAGTAATCTGTAAGACAAGCTCAACAAAAAAAAAAAAAAAAAAAAAAAAAAAAAAAAAAAAAAAAGGAAAAAATAGATACAATGTTTTTATATTCATATATATATATATATACACATATACAACAATATAAAAATACTTACTCTCTACTAGACAAGATGGAGGAGTTGGATCAAGGTGGGCACAATCTAGCATACTTACAGTTCATGACATAATAAAAATCAAGACAATTATTCCTGCTTCCCAAACAAGTATACTAATGGCAAGTCTATTATGCAGGAGACTAAAAGCTGCAAAGTATACTATACAACACATTTTAAAAGAAAATAGTAGCCTGTCAGGGTATATAAAAGGTGCTAGTCTCAGAATCCTTAATTGATGTTGTCCTTCCAACCTTGAGAAAAGCAAGGACCTGACTTGTAGAGATTTATATATAAATGTCATGTTCTCTTCAGAGTAAATATAGGGAAATTGTCTTTTGTGGTGTGCAATTAATTTGATCTGTCTTAAACATTTTGTTTAGGATGACAAAGAAAGAGGCATTAAGATGTGTTCACTTCTCTTCATAGATTCCAAAGTGTACTTATTCCTCACAGGTATATCTATATTATATCAGTGTGCTTTTAAGGAATTTATGATTAATTTTTGACTCTTGGTTGTGCAGAAGTGTAAAGGAAGCACTGACATGTTCAGCACTTCCGAGACTGTTATAGTTCTGTGCAAGGAAGTGATCCAGTTCTTAGTAGCTGGGAAAACTCAGAAATCTCAAACTGAACTTAGCTGTGAAACTCCTTCAACATTACTCAAGGGTAAGGATTCTTACCTTAGATTTAGATTTAGAATCTTTGACTGGAGGTCTCTATAAGCTCTTGTTAGATCTTATGCTCATCAGTGGAAAACAGGACATGAGAGAGGAAGACAGAATACAGAGCTCTGAGAAGAACGTTTGCAAGAAGAGTAGAAAAGGCAAACATACTTTCATGCATATCTATGGAGAATTTATGTGAGTAATGGGCTGCATCAGATGTGGCTAAAAGATTGCAGAATACAGATGCCCTCAGATCTGCCCACAAAAAATTATTTTCAAAGAATGAAACCAGTTTGCAGGGCATCTGAATAAAAAACTAACACCAAATTGTTGAATTTACTCTAGGGAATTGTTCTATGTGTTCTTCTTGTAACTTATCTTTGTTCTTTCCAGAGAGTGAATTTCATGTTTAAAGAGGCTATACTTTACAAACTGGGTAAGTAGAACTTTTGCAACATTACAACTCTGATTCATATTAGTAGGAGTATTCAGGATCAATAACGCCAACTGAGGAAATTTTACTTCCATTTTACCTTTATCAATAAAGGTGTTATTCCTATTATTCAAGGTCACAACGATGCTACTTCAATTGTTATAAACATTTTCAATTTTGTAAAATTAATTTTAAAAATTACATTTATGTGTTTTCTTCTTGTTTCCTCTGTAATTTCCAATATCTTTAAGTGTGTTTGCATTTTACATCCAACTAACTTCTCCTAAGCAATTCTCATCACTGTTTTCCACCAAAGAATTCCAGTGTACTTGACAAGAGACTCAAAACTGATGTGTGAGGATCTTAGTTAAATGAAATCAGCATGCACACATTGACAGGAGAGCTTGGGTTATAGACAGACTTCCCTATTGAAATTCATAGAAATGCACATGACTTTAAATAAAAAAAAAAAAAAAAAAATTCAGTAACACTAAGCTTCTCAGGAAATTCCATACCTTCCTAAGAATGTTTTTTTCCTGTGCTGCGGAAAGTGATTTAGTGCTCTCATATAATTCAAAATATGACACTGGTGCTCCTATTTCTATTCAATGAGTTCTGATCTGAGTGGGGGAGTGTTTCTAATGAAGGTTGAAGGAATGAAACCTCCAATTATGCTTCTGTGTGATACACTATCTTCTCTCTGCAGTGAGAGTAGAGAATTGGCTGGGTGAAACACAACTGATAGGTTCCTTTTGGGATTTGAACTCACCCTGCTTACATCTGCACTCAGACTGGCATCTTCTTCTGAGCAGCAGGGAGGCAGTGAGGATGGGATCATTTATGTTGTGAAGTCTCCAAACCTACCCAAAGTGAGATCAGATCTGTGCCACTGTGATTGACTCATGTGAATACAAGGCAGAGAATTTCTCTGCCTCTGTCTCTGAAACACATTCTTCCACGGGAATTTGACTCCTTCCAGGATCCAGACCTTGATCTAATGAAAAATATTAATGTCAGAGGTATAAAACACTCTTACAAATCCATTTCATTTCCACTGTAGAAAACTGCCCTTTGGTTGGAGTGCCATCCTCAGGACTACCCTCCATGGAAACAAACAGAACAGAATATAAATATGATGAATTTTACTTGAACGAAAGTCTGTACTCTAAATGAAAATCTTTGCAACGATACACACTAGTCACTCTACT